ATGGCCCTTTCAGTAAATCATACATCAGACACTGGAATTGCTGGTGGCTTGTTGCTGGGGTCCATGCAATTAAGAAGTTACAGAACAGTTCAGAGAAGCATTCAGAACAACTGACATCGTCTAACAAATATAAGAACCTTTGTACACTAAACCGCAGCCAGATTCAAGACCTTCAATTTGTATAATAGAGGCTTGACTTCCCCGTTTATCTTCTGCTCACCTAATAAGAATAGTTCAGTTTATTTTCCTGGATTGGGGTAATCTATGTCAATATTTTGTGGGGTGGGAGGGGAGGGCAGGAAGAGAAGGTCAGCTGTTTTTAATACTGGTGTACTCCATGGTCAGGGCTTTCTAATTATAGCCTGGATAAAATATCGAATTTCAAAGCCCTTCACACAAGGAAGGTTCTCTGTTTTCAGTAGCATTAGATACGTGTCCATCCCATAAACATATGCATCGTATGCGTTTTGGTTTTGATTAGTATTGGGTAACTATATTAGCTGATTGCTCTGCTGTTGTTTGATAATATCTTATTGGGAGCAGTGAAGAAATTATCACATATAGAAGTATATCTTGCAGATGGGGGTTCTTAAAGCACTAGTTTCACTTTGCAGCTCAAGAAGTTGTTCGATGTTACAGTGAACCTCCTCTGTCTCTTGTGTGTTATGACTGACTGCTGCACAACAGATAAGGATTTTAAGTAGCTGAACGGTTGTGTTGGATGTGGCCTGAGAAATGGCTTCAGAGATTTTCTTCTAGTTATCATGAATATTGGTGGCACTAGTGATTTAAAGAACATAGCACAGGAAAATGTAAATGAGTAGGAGGCATTTATGTTGGAGGGTTTCTTTCTTCTCCCACTTCTTCAGAAGGAAGTAGCTGCTGTGCTGTCTGCCATTTAAGCAAAATATCTGTGATTAGGCTTTTAGTAAGACTAAAATTGCTTCTGTTATATTATTTTCCACACCAGATATGCGGTAATTAAATAGTTCAGAACTGTAACACAAGATAGTAAGAAAGCCGTATGAAATGCTCTTCATTTTCTATTCCATCTGTTGCTGTTATGTGGTAGAAATCTTGTAGCATCTTTTTAAAATATAATTTTTCCAATTCTCTTATTTATGTGGTTTGGGAAATATTGGATCAGGTATTAAAATGTTATGCCTATTACATAAGTACTCTAAGGAGCTTTGTGGTGGGCAGAAAAAAAGGAGTTATTAGAATAATTGAAAAGAAAAATTTGACATACGATCTTGATGCTGTTCAAAGGAAAGCCAGTAGCAACTAGCTATTTTTTTTTTTCCTACTGTCTCTTTAAGTTTTCACTAATGAGAGCAGTCTTAAGCATTGAAAGACTCTGGAGACACACAAGCCATGTTTAAGAGTGTTTGTAATCTTCAAATGAATACTACCTCAATGAAGTGAAAACGTGAGTAATGCTGAGAAGAGAGCCCTTTTAAGTGCTGAACTAGGCATTTGCTTACCCCCGACTGTATGGAAGGGAAAAATCTGCTACTTGGTTAAAGTAGTCTTTGGCAGGATTTGGGCAGATGGAGCTTATTTTTGTGACTACAAAAGAAGTCTTTTAGGTTCCATCGTGCTTTCTGGAGTCTCTCTTATTGTCAATAAAATTTCTGAATTTCATGCTTTTTGTGTTGTGAGGAGATGTTTCAGAATGCAGACTGGCTGTCTTTCCAGCTGAGCCTGCAGTCATGGCAGACTGAAGCAATATGCTCTAAGAAGTGGTGTGAATTTTCTCATATGTTTCAGTGAGCATTAATGGGAAGACTAATTAGGACAACTTGAAGCCAAAATTGCTGTGTTTCACTTCGAGACAAATTATCAGCGACATCCATCAGCTGTAGTTGGATGTACATGGCATTCCAAGCTTAAATCTGCTTGAAGAGTTTAGAATCAGAAGGGAGGAAAAGAAGTTTAGATCTAACTCAGGGCTTAAACTTAGAGTAGAACAAGGAAAAATAAAAATCTACCACATATGAATAACTCTGTACCCTAATAAAAACAGGTGAAGCAGATCATATACTTCTGATTATTATTGGTTTTGATTTTGGTTTGAAGGCTGTGTATAGGTGACATTAAGCCAGTATTTCAGACTGAAAATGCTATATTAAATACTACTATAATTTTTTTTTGTATGGAACTGTATTTAACTCTTACAGATATATGCATACAGATAGGGTTTCTTCTCTTCAGTTGTGACATTTCTACCCATAGAAATCTGTATAGCCTAAAACATAGGTCTCCACAGTCAGTTCTTTTCAAATCCTAATATGCTCTATTTTCTTTGGATATAAAAAAGCCTGTGGCTGCTTCCTTCTCAGGACTGACTTCGTGCTGTGTCAGATTCAGCTTCTGGGTAAGGTACAGTACAAAAGTTAGTTTGCTTGAGTGTTACAAAGGCATCAGCCTCTGGCTAAGGAGTACCTGTGACAAGAGGTGCACTTCTTGCTACTGTGTATCTTCCTCCCTAGTCTCCTGAGGACAGCATGAGTCTCTCCCTGATCTTCTGCTGAATGCTCCCAGAAAGCAGGACTCTAACCCTGTGCTTTCCATCTCATAATACATAATACATATGTTTGAGACTCCAGTTCTATCATGTCATATATCTCTTTCACCTTCTTGTCGCTGCTTTGGCATCCTCAGTCAGAGATGATCAAGTACCTTTATTTCTATTGCAGAGCAGGGCTGGAAGCTGGCAGCCCCTGCTATGCAGAGTAGCAAGATGTACCTGATTTGTAGAGGCTGTCTGTGCAAGCATCTACTGTGCTACGAGAGAAGACAGGAAGACAGAGCTGAGAGAAGCTGAGACTGCACCTGGCACAGGCAGATTGGTTACATGTGGTGGGCATATCACAATTTTGGGAACTTGTAGTGTTGTGTATCTCTGTCTCCACTGCTGCAATAGCTGTCGGTACACGTGTGTTTAGTCAGAAGACCGTGATTCCTTCCACTTGAAATGGGTTGTGTGGCCTTCTGTCTTCCTCTTTAACATGTTCCACCTCTTGAGCAATATCAAGACAGAGAAAAAAGCCAAGAAAAATGTTTCTCTCTGCCATACAGATTTTTTTAAGGAAGAAGTGCAGGGAGGAGGGTAGGTCTTTGATCTTGCCTGTAAAAAATGGTACCTCACATTTATTAGCAACATGATCCATCAGGTAACAAGCTGCTAGTATTATTCTCTCCATTTCACTTTCTCTAATGTGAGCATTTTGTGTGTATTTTATGGCCATCATGAGCACTGCATGAATAACTCCTAAACTGTTGGTCCATTTCAACCAGCTTGGACAGCTTTGTCAAGTCTTAAAGATAGCTGTGTTCTGTAACTACTGTGAAAGTAGGTGGCTGGGTAGAGGCAAGAGACAATGTTTGAGCTTACGCTTTGAAATGGTAGAGTATGTGGTGGGGCAGTGACCCATTAGGAGGCAGGAAGGCTTCAGCAACAATTTCTACCTTCTTAGAAGCCCTGGCTCCTTTAGGATGTAATAAACAAGTATCAGTCAAGGAACCGTTTATTATTTTGTGGGCTATAATGCGTGTTTCTCATGAGGAGTGTGGCTGTAGGTCTGTATTATTTTGTGTTGTGCTGCAAGTGCAAGGAGTGAGGAAGTCTGGTCCCAAATAAGAAGGAGTATGCAAGTTCCAGGGTAAGGTTATCTTTATTTGGATACGTAGAAAAAGGAGTGCTGCCATGTTTAAAAGTTGTTGCACCATTGGAAGCTCTCTTCTTTTTCCTATCTGTGGCATGGTATATTGAGTCAAATAAATCCTTTGAAAGTGTGCCCAATTAATAATCTGTTCTGGCCTTCACCAAATCTCATTAACCTAGTGTAGCCATCCAACTGGGTATGTCAGTTGTACTTCTAGAGCAATTGATTGATTTTTTTTTTTTTTAAGTTGTCCCACTATGATTCTTGTACCAGCTGACAAATCCCAAAGAACTAAGTTCTGTCTAGCTTAGGATGAGAGAAATAAGAAGAGGCAAAAAGGACCCCAAAAGAATCTTTTAATTAGAGCAATTTCATTCTGTCTATCTGCCATGAACCTCATGAGCAATATGAGCTTGCCAGGGTGTAGCCATGTGACTTGGTGGGAGCTGATCCTCTAATGAGAGGATTAGGTGTTTATTTCTGGTTGTCCACAGCCTGTGATGCTAAGCACATGTCACTGGGCATTTGAGAGTCTCAGCCAGTCCCCAGTAACCTCTCCTTTACTCCCCTCATCTTTTCTCTTCTGTCCCCTCCTGAATATTGCCTCACTGATTTCTCTGTTCTTGATACTTCAGCTTGGGATAGATTTAATAAATGATGCTACGCGGAGTTTCTGTGTGGTATTGTATTTAGGTCTGTAAATAACACAAAACCTAAATGGCACAAAGTTTTTCAGAATCTTGTTTTTTAGTAAATCACCTGGGGAAGCGTAGTTTGGAATCGGTGAGATCCAAAAGGGATGAATAGTTCTGTCCAAGAGGCCATCACTAAACTGGCTTGTCCCCAGCAGTGCCATTTTACAAAGTGCATTTAATGAATTGTTTTGCCTTTAAAAAATGAGAAGAGGGGTGATGGAAGAGGAATCAGTCCTGGGGCTCCTGAATTGTGATAACTCTACCATTTGTGATACAGAAGCTACTTAAAATTATCTGGGGTTGGGGAGAAATCCAGCCTGCCACCTTGAAGCTGGGGAATGAACGCTGCCTTCTGCCCACAGCCTGAGAATTGTGTCTGGAGCTGCTGGTGCCACCACCTAGTACACATCCCTTTTTGTAATGGTGGTGCCTGAGCAAAATAAATTTGAAAATCTCCCACTTTAATAGGTTTCCATTCTCATAATCTTGAATGGTTCAGAAGACCCTATTTTGTCAAGAAACCTGTTTCCTTTTATTTTTGCATTTCACCTTGAATTTGATGTTTTGTCCTCTGGGCACTGATGTTAGTATGAGTTCTGTGTTGTACTTACTTAACATGATAAATCTCTCTTCCCAGATCGTTCAACTTCAAGTGGTACATCCTCGTTTAAGCCCAGCCGATCACTGGTTTCTATTCCCACTGCCCATGTGATGCCGTCTAATGCCAGCTCTTCACTTTCCAAGCACAGGGAAGCTTTCAAGTCTGATGGCTCAAAATGGAGTACAAGCTTTGTACGGTCAGGAGGAGGCAGAAATCAGGGTGCCCTGGACAATTCTCTTGACATGAAAGATGCAAGACCTGTAAGAAAATGGTCCTCCTTGTCTAAACTCAGCTCACCAAATACCTTCAGCCAAGATGGCAGTAGTCATTCAGTGGACTCCAGGGCTAGTACGGACAAAGCTGTGTCACCACAATTAAGGACAAATGGGCCAAGTTGTTTGCATGACAGCATGGAGTTGCTAAAAATTGAGGACAAAGAAATGGGGAAAAAACGATCTTCTCTACTGGACTGCAAATACAAATTTGAAACGTGCAGCAAAGACGATTTTGTTTCAGATTCCTCAAGTAGGAGACATGCCTTAGACTTGACCTACAGTGCCTTACCTGAAAGCAAACCTATGGCAGCCAGTTGTGAAACTTTTGGACAGAGATACGCAACTCTGGGACAACAGGCTGTGAGCGGAGCTCCCATACAGCCAGCAGTGAGGACTCAAATGTGGCTTAAAGAACAGTTACGTGCAAACCCCCTGGACTGCAGGACTGCTGAGGAGCCCTATGGCGTAGCTGCGTGGCACATGCAGCAGCCTGAAGATTTTAGAACGGGAGGTGAACAGCCTGTGCAGGTAAGGCTAAAGCTTGGTGTTTGCTGCCATCATGTGGCATCATGTGTTATACCTGAGGAATAACATCAGGCAGTTTTTAATAAAATGAAAGGTCCTTTTAAACAGGTGATGGTGTTTTTAAACTTTGGTTGGGGATGCTGCTGCTTGTTTCTTAATATTACCCGAGTGCCAACAGTTTTCTTCTGACATCTGCTTACAGTTTACTCTGCTTCAGTGTGTCTGTCTACGTGAGACTAGCATCTCTTTTTCTGAAGCTGGACACAGGTAGCTCTTAAGAGAGTCTTTGGTCACAGTGCAGTGGGGGAATGCAAATATATTTTGATCTGAATGGATTTACAAAGAGGCTGCATTTATGTGTTCACTGAAAGAGGAATGACTCCTGCATGCTGCAGGATGAATATTCAGTATCGCTACGACTAGGACTTCAAAACTGAATTCAGTTTTAGATTACTGCTTATTTTTTAACTAATTAGAATCAACTAGTAGTGAAATAATAGTAGTCAACTAATCTTCTTTATTTAAATAAAATAATAGATAGTTTTTATGTGTCATACTTGAAGTATTTTCATATAGAAAACATCAAACTTGCGGTTTTAAGAGACAAATAACCCTTTCTAACGCGACAATTCACAATCTTTGTTTCCAGCTCTTACCCTAATGGGAAAAGATAGCTTGTGAAGGAAGGCAGTATTTAAAATCTAAATGTTCAGGTTTACCTATGTAGGTAAACTTGACTTGTCCAAAAAATCCCAAGCAGATTACAATATGCAGATTTTCCTGAAAGGCGGTTTAAGGTTAGGCTAGGATATTATCTGTGCAGAGATAATCTAGCTGTATGTGCAAATACCTGTTCTCTCCAGCCTGAAGATATATTAGGTAATTTACGAAGAGTTGTGCTCAAAATTTGTTGTTTCTTCCGATTAATATGGCCAAACTAATATTAATCCTTAAGGGTCTCTCTAAAAACCTGGCAAGGGAGCCACCCTTTTACATTACCCTTACTACTACAGAAACCCTCATCTTTCTCTAAGCTTTTTGAAGATTTCAATGTTGAGAAATTACCCAGGTAGGGAGTGGAGCCTGAGGGGTTCTTGCAGAGCCAAAGTGGTGGAAACTGGCTCGCTACTGAGGCTGGGTTGGGGCACTGCCAGTGGGGCTCTTGGCAGCTGGCAGCTACCGGTGGCGTCGAGGAGTACACGAGGGGTTCGGAGAGCGAGAGCAGGGTACCGTGGAGGAGCTAGGTCCGTCCATCCGTTCATTCAAGTCTTCCCCAAATCTGAGAGACATGTAGCTGGCTGAGCCATCAGCAGGGCTGTCTGTGAGGTTTGCATGCAGATTACTGTGCCTGGTGGTTCTTTTGGATTTAAATATGCATTCAGAGTAAGCTTTATTTACTTCTTTCCTTCATTTAGGTATATGTCTGTGTCATCTTTTATGTACCTTTCATAATGCTTTGTTTAGGGTGGGTGTTCCAGAAGCTGTTATTTTTGTTTAGGTCAAAACAACTCCCAGCTTTTGTTTTTCGTGTCTCACAAGTGCTTTCTCACTCTGATTGTAATTAAATACAGTGTCTCCTTTTTGTATGAAGGCAAAGTTTCATGTTTGAAACAGATGAAGCCCTATATGTATTATTACGGTTATTCAGAAACTTCTGTCCTGGAGGCATTGATGCTGAGCTGTGTTTTGAGGACAGAGACAGTAGGGGGAGCACAAGCATTATTTATCTTTTGGCTGAATTTGTAAAACGGTGCTGCACCTTTTCAGGTTTTTGAGATTGTGAGATTATAGGATGAAGTTTTGAAGTTTTGCCTAAAACTGTGTTGTTTTTTTTTTTTTTTACTTGCTCCTGTTATTTTTATATCTGTATCAGTATATATATTTGTTACAGGATTGAGCTAGCCCCTGGCTTAGGAAGCAGTGATCCCATCAGCTGTCTGGTCAGCCCTGGAAAATAGGGGAAGTCCTTGAAGCTGCGGCCTTTGCTCTGTTTACCCTGACTTCCTGCTTGATTGCGATGGGAGGGCCACAGGGAGCCTGACAGTAATTAAGGGCACAAGGGGTGTGGAAGAGGTTCCTGGCGGCCTTAGCAAGCACTTTAATTGGTGTGATTTAGAGTTGCGTTGACAGGCCTTGAAATGCGATCTGTTACATTTCCTCAAGTGAGAAGATGTGGTTGTGAAATAGGACCCAGAGAAACAGGAAGTTAAAGTGTGTGCAAGAGCGATGAGCCTTTGGGCTCTTACACGCATCCTCTGCGGGCCCTCCCTGCCTGCCCTGTCTTTCTGCCCAGAGGTTACAGTTGTGAGGAGGAGGGATGCCAGAAGAGATGAGGAAAGGAGAATGGTTCATCCTGTCTTGACGCTTCTTTCTTTTTTGAAAGAAACCTTATCATAAGGACGGGGTAATCCTGGTTATATATACAAATCAGGGGACGAGAGGCTGGAGAGCAGCCCTGCAGAAAGAGATCTGGGGTGTTGGGTTGATGGCAAGTTGAATACGAGTCAACAGTGTGCTCTGGCAGCCAGAAAGGCCAACCATGTCCTGGGGTGCATCCAGCACAGCATAGCTAGCCGGTCGAGGGGGGTGATGGTTCCACTCTACACTGCAGTTCTGGGCACCTCAGTGTAAGAATGACATCAAACTGTGTCCACAGGAGGGTGACCAAGGTGGTGGGAGATACTGAGGGCAAGACATAGGAGGAGCAGCTGAGGTCACTTGGTTTGTTCAGCTTGGAGCAGAGAAGGTTAGCTCAGTTGGTTAGAACATGGTGCTAATAACGCCAAGTTCACAGGTTCAATCCCTGCTTACTGCAGGGGGGGTTGGGATCGATGATCTCTCAAGGTCCCTTCCAACCCAAAGCATTCTGTGATTCTAAGGCTGAGGGGTGACCTCATCGCAGTCTAAAACTTCCTCACAGGGGGCAGCGGAGGGGGAGGTGCTGCTCTCCTCTCTTGGGTGACCAGTGATAGGACATGAGGAAATGGAATGAAGCTGTGTCAGGGGAAGTTCAGATTGGGCATTAGGAAAAAGCTCTTCACTGAGAGGGTGGTCGGTCACTGCAACAGGCTCCCCAGGGAAGTGGTCGTGGCACCAAGCCTGTCAGAGTTCGAGGACTGTAGTCATGTGGGTTAGTTTTAGGTAGTCCTGTGAGGAGCAGGCAGTTGGGCTCGATGATCCTTATGGGTCCCTTCCAACTTGAGATATTCTATGATTCTATAATGGTGCTATGATTTTTTTCAAAGGTCACCATATGTGCACCTGGGAACTGGTATGCTATTATTTCTGAGAAACTAAGAAAACTACAATCTGAAGTGGAGTATATACCTAGGAAGAAGAGAGAGCAGAAAGCATAAGATTTTGCTAGAGGAAGCTGGCAATTTATAAAAAGGGGGGGAAAAACCCACCTCTATAGAAACTTTAAATTTTTCTTTTACTGGGCATTATTTTTACTATTTTGTTTTTAATAAGGATGTATGCTGATGGAAATGCAGTGGGTTTTACAGGACTGAAAAAATTACATTTTATCATCCTTTTACTTTAAAACCACCATTGCTATGAACAGAAAATAAAATGGACTTTGCTTTTAGCTGAGAATCTAGCGCAGCTTTGTGTATCTTTGAGGTAGGCTGGTAGAGGGAGAGACTATAGAGGGCAGCTATCACTAATGAGGCAAGAATAGGCTGCAACAATTTTCTGAGTTGGTTTTGAGGACTGATGGTTCAGGAACAGCTATCGGACTTAAGAAAATAATTTTTTATGCCTTTACAGACTGGTATAGACAGTTTACTCCACAAAACTCTGAATTAGGGTTTATTTTTATAAAATCTGACAAGCTTTGAATTTAAGTTTACTGTAAAAGCTAATGTATGACAGCCTTTAAAAGCTGTTCCAAGGTTAATTACTCTCAAAATTAAGATTCTCTGCTTCCTTAATAGTCTGAATTTAACTGAACTCAGCATCTACCTGTTGGGTTTTTTGTTACACTTTGCTCCCCAAATTAAAAAGCCTATAATGTGGCTTTTCCATTCTAATTGTAAACCATGATTACCAGTATTTACTGTGCATTGTAAGGGAAGCTCAGAGTGTTGGGTAGAAGACCTACAGCTACGCTGAGATTCTCTTTCAGGGCATGGTCAGGTTTGCAAATGCAGAAAAGATGCTGTGGATCAACAGAATGCCCCTTCAGAGAAGATGCATCGTTCAGCCGTGGGTGTGATGTTTGTACGTTTTGGAAATAAATCTCCAAGGAAGATCTGGCCTATGGTTATTGTGTAACAGCATGGAAAGAAAATTCTTTTCTCTAGCTAATGTGTACTATTTAATGTATACTTTTTGAAGATAAACCTTCTCCTATGCATTTCCAAGGAACAGATTTTAACAGTACTTCAATGAAAATAATTTCCATGCAGAATTTATATTTCAGTATACGCTTAATTATTTTCAGTGTACAGCTGATCTTTCAGCAGACATGACCATTGTAATACTTTTTTTTTTTTTTTAACCTCCAAAGTAAGGAAGTGTGTGATTAGGCCTGTGTTAAGGGAAAAAATGCTTACAATATGTGACAGGGGTTCCCATTTACTGAACTTGGAGGCCATACAAATCTGGATAAAAAGGCTGTATGTTTTCATGTAAAGGCATTTCTTAAAGCCTGATCCTATTATCTATCCTATTATCTGAATGTACCTAGGTACATACTGTCTGCTAATCCAGAAATGAGGTTTAAAATGAAAGCGTGCCTTTAAAATTGTGGGAGATAATACAATAAGAAGGAAGGTTTCAGAAGGTTGCATATCTACTTATTAGCTCTGTATAATGTTGTAGACATTACATGATGAATCTCTGGGTTTTTTGTAGTGTAGGGGACATCAGTATGATTTCTTCATGGTGTGCTAATTTGTGTCAGAATATAGCAGAAATAATAGATGAAAGTTGCTTAAGTGCATCTTTTTCCTTTAATGCATCTGGTTTACTGTTTTTTCTTTAATGAGGAAAACACTGCCTTGTTCATACCATGTATATAAAGCTACTAGAAATTAAATTTTAATGCACTGAGAAATTTAGAGATACTACAACAATCTTCATTTCAAAACAAAGAAGGAAGAAAGTAAACTGCATGCATACCTAAACATTGGTAAACCAAAGTTGTAAAACTTTAATTCAAAGAAAAAATTATAGTATTCTTCAAATAATATTATTGCCACAGAAAACTTTATTCTTAAATGTCAACTCAAAACTGGTTTTTCTTATGATCCTGGCAGATTAGAAAACTAAACCCAATTAACATCAACATTTTTCCCGTGTCACATTTTGATGAAACCATAGTTTTCCACAAGATAAAAACTTTTTAAGATGAAGAATTACC